CTCCCCGAAAAAAAAAGAAGAAAAAGACAGAAAAGGAAAGTGCTCTTTGACCCCCTTAAGTTTTCTGCAATGTGCTGCCGAAAACATATACTACTTACTATTAAAGAAACTTTATCCCGAGAGCTTAAGGCCATTTCGGGAGGAAAACATCAAGACTCACTAGGAATAACGTTAAAGAAATGATAGACCTCTTCTTCATCGATGACTCCAACATCCGTCGAACAAACTGAACAGCATACATGTTTAAATGTCTCGCCAATATCAGAAGGCGCTTCAGCCTCACCAGATCCATGTCCTTTCTTACCCCTCTTTCGTTTATTTCCAAGCTGTGCCACTTGTTCGCTCTTGATCTTGCAATTGACCACAAACATTGCTCGGTACTGCGTAACATTCTTTTCATGCCTGCATTATCAAGATAACATCAATTCCGAATTGCAGAAATATTACTAGAAAGCTAACAAAATGAGAAATGAAAGCTTGCATTAGTGACAAAATGCACCTAGGCGCTTTCTTGATTGAACAGCTGACCAATTACATGCTAATGCTGAGCAATGGTTAAAATCGGATGGTAACTCAACAGGAGTCTCCATCTACAAGCTTACTATTCAAAATTTAACTGGGCAATGTCATATAGCTGCATTAGCTTTTCGAAGTATAGTAAGAACATGATACGGAAAGCTGTCTTCTGCAAATATGTTTTCAATTACTATTAATACATAGATGAAGAAAGAGTCACTTTACTTCTGTTATTGCATTGTTGGTCCCTCTTGTTCAGAACTAAACATGACAGACCCATTTTGCAAATGTCAATGCGAAGATTCAACAAGATCAGTAACACGTCAACTTCAGGTTCATAGAGATTCGGCAACACTACTAGCAAAAGTGGAGTTTCACATTCAAGTTCGAGATTCAAAGAGATCAAATATTTCTGGCTGTTCTGGCAACAGTACACTTTCAACTTGCCATTCTTTCTTTCCTAAAGCAAAAGGAAACCAGAGAAAATGGAAGAAGAATCAAATGAGTTTATCGTTCAGCTGGTTACTCCGGCTTTGGCCAAGTCATAACAGATTTCATTGCTTCAGGAAATTACTCTTTCCTAAAGCGAAAAAAAACCCAGAGAAAACGGAAGAAGAATCAAATAGAGTTTATAGTTCACCTACCTATCTCCTGTTCACAAGAGGTGCCTTCTTAAGTTCTAGTAAAATATTGACATCCACCATGTTGCAGAGAAGACATGATTTTCCCAAGCCTACTAGCATAATAGACAAATCAGAAAAACTCCTTAATTATACTGAATACTGTGACGTAAATCAAAGCAAGGAAAAGGTGATGGAGCTAGAAAAGCAGAACCTAAAGAGAAAACTCGAAGCAAATATCTAAGACAATGATTTTCTGATGAAGTGTGGGCATTAAATGGGAAAGACAACTAGGTGATACCTCAAGAACAATACTTGCTTGGTTTGAAGTGCAAAAGTTACAACACTTCTATATCCTATCTGTTATCTGATGCTTGATCTAGACTTAGCTTATCTGTCTCTGTCACTCTCACTAAAATAGGGGTCTTAATCAAGATCAACTTTTTTTCCATCCACCATCTTTTCATTTGCAGTCAAGCAGCAAGCACTAAAAACTCTTACCATCTCTTTGCATGTAGAAAATGTGAATTTCATTCCTTGTTTTTTGGTAAGTTTAAAAAAAACATTTGAACAGTAAAAAGAATAATATATTTTATCACTGATGAAAGAGAACTAAGCAATTGGAATTATGTACAGAGTTGAATCCCGAACGAAGTACATGGGTATTCTCCTAAAGTTCACGAAGAGAGTTGAGGAACTCAACAAACTGTGTCTTATGTGTCTTTCATGTTAGGTTCAGAAGGCAAACAACTTTAGATTATGCACTGCAACTTCCTCGTTTTTCGTACTACCCAAAGAAACAGGATTGTCATTTTGTCTGAGTCGACTTACAAAATTTCTGACCCGACTCTTCAGATAAAACAAAACAGTAAACATAGTGACAACTGGAGAGAAGCACAGTTACAGATTAGCTTACAAGAATTACAAGGACACTAGCAACAGAAGTTGAAGTAAGAACTCCATGAAAGCAAACATCCTCCGACTTAGGTCGTCCTTCCTCTCGGGATGGATATTTGTGGGTGGGGTATATTGATGTCATTTGGCGTTGAAGAGAAGTGTAACTGAGTTGTTCTAGCGCGCGCTTTTCTTGCTTTTATTTAGACTAAACTTATTCACTTTTTCCACTTCCCAGGCATTCAGCTGTGTCCATCTCTATAAAGCATAATGATTTGTCATTATCCACCTTCACAAGCTTACTGCCAAGTACTAACCATTTTATTAATTACTATTACTTATTGAAAAAGAAACTTTCCGAATAATCCTTTAATATTTGCTTTCACCAAATCTAAACTGAACCAGGTTATTATCTGTTCCAATCATGCAAGAACACATCTTTGATAATGCCATTCCCGATCCAAATACAGTTTTTTAATAATTAATCCTAATCTAGGTATCATTGATGCAAAAACACCATAACAGTAATGTTGATTTCTCTTCTTCACCAACATTTTTTTGTTTACATTAGAAGGCTATTTCATGTCTACCGTGTATCTGGTTGATCGTTACCCCTTTTGCTCCTATTTCATCAAAAGGGATTATATTTGACTTTTACACCATTATTACAAATGCTAAACTCGACCTCTACATATTTAGTGCACCCTGGTAATCATTGTGAGCAACATCCAAATATCTGAAATGATACTACAAATCAAGGTGCAACAGATAGCATACAAAACTTTATGGAGAAAAGATTCTCTCTACAACTCTGCAACATGGGATGTCTCTTCTTCTCATTGCTTGATAAACTTCGCTAAGGGTTGCAAGTACTTCCTATAAAAGCACGACCAATTTCCTTTGAGTGAGACGATCTGGTACCACTAGACGATGAAGAAATAGAGAAATTAAAGGAACTTAGGCATTGGAAGTGAATAAAGACAAGTAGATGCAACAGAGGCGGAGCCAGGATTTCAAATTTATGGGTTCGAGATTTTAATCGCCTTAAGTTACTGGGTTCTAAATTAATAATTCATATATATTCAATGAATTTTTTAAGACAAATACAAGATTCGAACCAAAACTACTGGGTTCAGCCGAACCCGCTCTCGGCACTCTAGCTCCGCCCCTGGGATGCAAGAAGATCCAAATATTTTGGCTGATTGTTCCTACAATAAGTTTCACCATTTTCAAAAAATAATGATCTGAAAAAAGAAAAAAAAATCGGAAACCGCCTCTCTACCTTCAAGGTAGGGGTAAGGGTCTGCGTACACACTATCCTCCCCAGACGGCCAGAACCCCACTTGTGATATTACACTAGGTTTGTTTTTGTTGTAATGGTATGAAAAAGACCCAAAACCAGTATATAAATCCGAGAAAGCAAGAAGATCCAAATATTGAACTTAGAAGGAAGTCCAGTTCATTTAATATTGGAATGAAATGGACCTGTATTGAGCAAATGGATATAGATGATTCATATAGCCTAGAAAAATCAATTGCGACTGAGGCTTAGTTGATTGATTAATTGGCTGAAGAAGATCCAAATACTCCAGTAGTAAAGTAACAGAGTCGTGCAATCAAATATATTCTTTTTAACATTCAAATTATAAGAAAATTCTAAAAACAAGAAAAGCAATACCTTTGGCAATCTAGACAAAGTGTGGTAAAACAAGCTGGACAATTAAGGATGGCATCGGAAGTACGACCACTTCTTTTCTTTTGGACCCAAAGTTCATCCTTGTCATCAAGTTCTGAATCATAAAATTCTGGCTTGATGGAGTAGTCTATCTCATCATCATCAGAAACTGACAAAACATCAATGTAAATATAAATTAGAGAAATAATCCCATAATAGTGTAAGAGCAAGGTTCCATCCAAAGGAAAGCTTTCTTATCTGAACAGTCCAGAGGATTTGGCTTTTGGGTTTAACAGTCTATGCATATAAGCAGAGAATTATCATTCTTTTCCTTTATAACCAAGAAATTCATGAGGACCCACGGCATACAGTTCAAAACTCCAAGGATAATGGGCCCACACCTCTACCTCTTTCTCCACTTAATATCAGCTTTTGTGTGTGAAAGTTCGAACCCATGACGTCCGCCTAACACACATATATTCTTACACTATACCAAAGCACTGAATTATCATTCTTTACACCCAAAAAGAGAGACAAAAGAGGTAGAAAAAGGGGGATGTTGGGAGTCCATAGCTCTAATTGGAAAAATATTCATATTGGGAAATTAAGGGTTGGTAGGTTAAGTTCAACTACATTAAGAAATGAGTATAACAATCCACCAATCAACTATGATTAAATTCAAAAATTCAACTAGTTGGGGTGGCTATCACACTATAATTTTGAGCAATAAACTACCAAAATCCTCCTACTTTATTCGAGTTCAGGACCAGCTATGTGAAGCTCATAATGGCTGAGTTATATTAAGAATTGAGTACTAAAGAAAAGGAATGTTCAATGGGTTTGAGTAATCATGAAAACATTGGTATCCAATATCCATAGGATGAGAAAAGATTGTTTAACTGAGAAAGGAGGAGAAAGAGCTACCGCCTACCTATTTGCTCAGAGTGAGAAGGCGATTCCTCTCCCTCTTCTCTGTGATGTTCGTTTATGTTTTTCATCTCTTTTTTCCGCCGAGAATCGAGATGTCCGGAGGAGTTTTGCCGCCGTGCCGGTGACTCTGTAAGTCGGTAAGCGGTGAGCCTGTAGCATAAACGTGAATGGAATAATTTAACTCAAAAAATGGTCCTTTTAAGTTTGAAATTTCTCTTTTTGTTTTTCATCTCTTTTTGAAATCCTAGCAAGGAAATGAAAGTTTTTGGCCAATATTGTCCCTTATATTTGAGCGTAAATTTATTTTGGTCCCTTAAATATAATTTTGAGTATATTTAATCCCTTAAGTATGCTAAAGTGGAGCACATTTAGCCTCAGTGACAGAATATGTCAAAGATCAATTACGGGGTTGGTTTCGGCATTCGCTGTCTTTTTAATTTACTTATCGAAAATATTTTAAAACACACACTAATAGTACAGAGCTGATAAATTTAACATTTTTAACATTGAAACTTTTACTTTTAAAATTTTCGGTTGATTTTTTCAAAAAGAAAAGTTAAAATTTGAAAAAATAATGCTGCCAAGATCACTTCTAAGCATATTATTGAAGCAAACAAATAACCAGATTGTATTATCACTTTTTGCCCGCGCCAGAAACTATTTACATCTGGTAATCAAAAAAGTATATAAAATTTGTATATTAACATACAAAATGTGTATATATACAAAATAATATACAAATTGTATACATTTTTTGGTTATTATTTTTACAGTAGCCATACAATGTCATTTTCTCATTGGAAATTGGCACATAGGAGATATTTTCAAGGACAAAATTTTAGAAGACATTATCTAAAAATAAGGAATTAACACGATAATTTGCGTTATCCAATAAAAGGAGAGGATACATTTTGCTTCAGAGAAGAAGATTTGAGTCATGAATTAGAGTTGGTGTGTTACCCAATAAAAGGAGAGGAAACATTTTGCTTTAGAGTAGAAGATTTGATTCATGAATCAGAGTTGGTTAACACCGTTATTTTTTTAACACATTCTGTCAGTAAGACTAAATGTGCTCCACTTTAGCATACTTAAGGGACTAAATATGCTCAGGGTTATATTTGAGGGACCAAAATAAACCTACTCTCAAAGATAAGGGATAATATTGGTCAAAAACTCACGAAATCCCAGCAAATTTCTTTTTAAGGTCAATAGTCAAACACATACGTAGCCCTGTTCCTTTTTTTATTTTGACACTTAGAACTAGGACTAATACCTATTAAATATTTACACTACTTCTGTTACATAACGATAAATTTAATGATATAATATGATATAATAAAATTTAAGTAACAATTAAAATATTGTATTTAAAGTAACAATACAATACAACAAGTAATACAAAACGATCAAATTTGCCGTTGTATCACTATAAAATAATATCTAAATTTGTCAAAAATCTCTATGTGATTAATGAATTTAATATTTTACAACTTATGATGCCCTTCAAACATCAATAGGTCGCTTAAATTGTGACGACCCGCCCAGTCGTCTTGAGAACTAATGCCTCGATCCCCTATTAACTATATTTCCCAAGTTTATTTCTACTATTTTGATTTATCGGGATGTTCGGTTTTGAGTTTCGGAGAGTTTTGGGACACTTAGTCCCTAAATGAGAGCTTAAGTGTTGGAAAGTTGACCGTGGTGGGAACAGTGTGAAGACGGCCTCGGAATGGAAATCTGATGGTTCTGTTAGCTCCGTTGGGTGATTTCGGGCTTAGGGGCGGGTTCGTATTGTGTTTTGGAGGTCCGTAGCTAATTTAGGCTTGAAATGCCGAAAGTTGAATTTTTGAAGTTTCCGGTTCGATAGTGAGATTTTGATCCGAGGTTCAGAATGGAATTCCGGAAGTTGGAGTAGCTCCGTAGTGTTTAATGTGACGTGTGTGCAAAATTTCAGGTCATTCGAACGAGGTTTGATAGACTTTTTGATCGAAAGCGTATTTTTAGAGTTTCTGGAATTCTTAGGCTTGAATCCGATGAAAAATAGGTATTTTGATGTTGTTTTGAGTGTTCCGAAGGTTGGAACAAGTTTGAACGATATTTTAGGATTGGTTGGCAGGTTTGGTTGAGGTCCAGGGGGCCTCGGGATGATTTTGGATGGTTGGCGGAAGGATTTTTGGAGTTTGGGAGTTGCAGTTTCAGCTGGTTTTTGTCATAACCGCACTTGCGGTTTGGGTTCCGCAGGTGCGGAGCCGCAGAAGCGGCGGAGTAACCGGAGAGTGGAAAAGGAGGAAAGGCAACAGGGATCGTAGAAGCGGGGTCTTCATTGCAGAAGTGGCCCCGCATCTGTGAAAGGATAGTTGTAGATGCGGAAATCGAGCCTTAAGTGAGTAGTCGCAGATACGACCATGGTTTCGCAAAAGCGGGACCGCGGTAACAGCTGGGCAGAAATATAAAATTTTGAGGGTTTAGTTTCAAAAGTGGGAAATTAAATTTGGAGCTCGGGAGAGGGCTATTTTGAGAGGAAATTGAAGAGGAGATCATTGGGCAACGATTTTTTAACCCTTTCTAGTTATATTCCATCAATCTATAGTTAGTTTCATCATTTAATTTCGGATTGGAGATGAAAATTGGGGAAAAGTTGGAAGAAAGTTCTTAAACCTAAAATTCGACCTTTGATTGGGAATTTGATATTAGATTTGGATAATTTTGGTATGCATGAACTCGTGAGAGTATGGGGATTCTGAAAATATAAATTTTACCCGATTACGAAACGTGGACCCGAGGGGCATTTTGGTCATTTTACCTAATTTCGCGTATTAGCTTAGAATTTCTTTGTAGAATCAGTTACTTGAAGTGTTATTACATTATGCAATTGAATTGAATAGATTTGGATCATTTGGAGTCGAGTACTCGTGGCAAGAGCGTAGTTTCGGGTTGATTTTGAGCTGGTTCGAGGTAAATGGCTTGCCTAACCATGTGTGGGGGACCTTTTCCCTTAGGATTTGGTGTATTTGGTAATTGAAATGCCTTGTACATGAGGTGACGAGTGCGTACTTGTGCTAATTGTTGGAAATCCAGCTTTTATTAAGTAATTACTAGTATGTTTCCTTTCCTGTTTTTATTACTCGCACTATTAAGCCTGTTGTTAGCTTAGGAAAGCATGTCTAAGTGATTTAATTGTTTTATTTGCTCAAACTGCCTTACCTGAATTCTGTGCAGCATGCTAGGCTAGAATTACTTGTTGCCTTAATATGAAATTTGTCATTTCTGAATATTTTCCTGTTGCTGGTGTGTATTTACATTGGAATTACGGATGTGGGATTCCGGTAGATCCCCCTTGTCTGTTTATTTGGGACTACAGATGTGGGATTTCGGTAGATCCCCATGCACAGTTATATGGAACTATGGGACTGCACCCGGTAGATTTCCCCAATACTCGGTATTTATATTTAGGACTACGGATCAGGATTCTGGTAGATCCCCGCGCACTGATAGTTGGACTACGGGATAGGATTCTGGGAGATCCTTCGGATATATATGATGGACTACGGGACGGTATCCCCGGAGATCCACTGGATAGATGTAATTGGGACTACAGGACGGTATCCTGGAAGGTACCCCGGTTGTTATCTCTGTGTTGAGTTGTATTTCCTTTCCGTGATTATTTTGCCTCTGTTCTAGTTGATGTTGCTCTTTTTATTCTATGTTATTTCTTACTGTTGTACTTAATTATATTGTCTTGTTCTACACTGTTATACTTTGTATTTTATTTAACCTCAGTAGGGCCCTGACCTTCCTCGTCACTACCCAACCGAGGTTAGGCTTGGCACTTACTGAGTATTGTCGTGGTGGACTCATGCCCCTTTTGCGCATGTTTTTCATATGCAGATCCAGGTACTGCGACTCAGTCCTATCACCCTTGAGGCGAGGCGACTGCTTTAGCGACTTCGAGGTATATCTACCGCGTCCGCAGACCGAGGAGTCCCTTTGTATTCTAGTTTTTAAGCATTTGCCCTTTTGTATTTCTTTTCCTTGTTAGGTATTTTGGAGTTAGAGTACTGTGTAGTGATCTTTAGCTTGTGATTCATGGGTTTCCGGGTCTTGGAGATATGTATTGGTTTCTAAGAGTTAAATATTGTGTATGCCGAGCGACACTTTTAAACACTGTCTTATTATTCTAATTCCATTTTAAATTGTTTTACTTCCGCAAATTGGTTTATTTTCCGCAATTTAGGCTTACCTAGTCATAGGGACTAGATGTCATCACGATGGTTCATGGAGGGTGAACCGGGGTCGTGACAAGTTGGTATCATAGCTTTAGGTTCATAGGAGTCATGAATTACAAGCCGGTTTATTAGAGTCTCGCTGATCAGTACGAAGACGTCTGTACTTATCTACGAGAGGCTATGTAACTGTTAGGAAAATTCCATTTCATTTGATTTCCTTGTCGTGCGATATTTTTACATCACAATTCTAAACTTCTGTCTTTTATTCCCTCACAGCTAGTGAGGACACGTGCTACCCGAGATGATCAGGCACCCGCGCCCCCCTATTGCAGCCGTCAAAGGCCGAGGTCGGGGTAGAGGCTGAGGATGCGCACGTGGTGCAGCCAGAGCACATGCGCGAGCTGCCTCCTAGGTACCACTAGCAGTTCCAGCCGGAGTCCAGGCACTTGACACGCCTGCTGCTACTACTACTCCAGCCCTTCAGGAGACTCTGGCACAGTTCATGAGCATGTACACCACTGTGGCTCAAGTAGGGTTGATTCACCTTGCTGCAGCTACATCTCAGGCCGGGGGAGGAGCATAGACTCCCGGACTCTTGAGAAGCGAGTGCATGTTGAGCAGGTCCCTGAGATTATTGCTATACCGCCTGCAGTGCTAGTTTAGCCTAAGGACAGGGCAGCGGCTTCCGAGGATGAGCAGCTGAGGCTTGAGAGGTTTAAGAGGTACAAGCCTCCTGTATTTAGTGATCTAGTATCGGAGGATGCTCTGGATTTCTAGATGAGAGTTACCGCATTCCCTGTACCATGGGTATATCAGGATCGAGCGGGGTTTCCTTCACTACTTTCCAGCTTCGAGGAGCCTCCTATGAGTGGTGGCGCACCTATGAGTTAGACAGTACGGATGAGGCTGTTTCGCTCACTTATACTCAGTTTTCAGATCTGTTCCTGAGAGAGTATG